AGTTTACCTGGGGGCCGCTAGAGACAGAGTCTGGGTGAGGCTGGGCCACATCAGATTTTCCGCCAAGCGGAGCAAGAGCCCGAGGAAGCCACCCAGGAGTTTCCTTAGCCGACATACAGGCAAGCTGGCTGGCAGGCTGCAGTTCTGGATGGAGGGTGCAAGAGGTGCTGTCTTGGGAGGTAGCTGGTGAGGCTTTTTTTGACACTTGATAGCAGAGGGCGCGTGGCGCTTGGGGGGGCAGGCAAGGCGGGGGCCACAAAGTATTGTCAGGCGGGCCGCAAATGTCCACGGGCCACGTGTTTGAGGCCCCTGGCTTAGAGCTTCTGCAAGCCCACATTTAAAGCCCAAACCCTGCCCCTTCAGACCATGCAGACAGGGAGAACAAAGGTCAGGCTAGAAGAAAATATCTCGCCAAATAAAGTGTCCTCCAAAAGACAGCTCACCTTCTGACTCAGCTCCTCTTCAGGAACAGGGCTCAGACTTAGAGCTTCTGCCAGCCCACATTTAAGGCCAATAGTTTCCTTACAGCCTTCCTTAAAGGAATACAGTTTACTTAAAGAGTAAATTTTGTAGCAGCACTTAGAAGCAGCTATTATACCCCGTTCCCCATTATTGGGAGCAAGAAGTAATGTAACTTGTTTAAAATATTAATTTGGGTGTTACTATTACACCAGAAGTAACCTTTGCAACTAGTTATGTTCACTGTCGTTTAGTCGTGTCCAACTCTTCGTGACCCCACGGACGAGAGCATACCAGGCCCTCCTATCTTCCACTGCCTCCCATAGTTGTGTCAAATTCATGTTGGTTGCTTCGATGACACTGTCCAACCATCTCGTCCTCTGTCGTCACCTTCTCCTCTTGCCATCACACTTTCCTAACATCAAGGTCTTTTCCAAGGAGTCTTCTCATGAGATGGCCGAAGTACTGGAGCCTCAGCTTCAGGATCTGTCCTTCCAGTGAGCATTCAGGGTTGATTTCCTTTAGAATTGATAGGTTTTTCTCCTTGCAATCCAGGGGACTCTCAAGAGCCTCCTCCAGCACCACAATTCAAAGGCATCAATTCTTTGGCGGTCAGCTTTATGGTCCAGCTCTCACTTCCATATATCACTACAGGAAAAACCATAGCTTTGACAATTCGGACTTTTGTTGTCAAGGTGGTGTCTGCTTTTTAAGATGCTGTCAAGGTTTGTCATTGCTTTCCTCCCAAGAAGCAGGCGTCTTTTAATTTCGTGGCTGCTGTCTCCATCTGCAGTGATCATGGAGCCCAAGATAGTAAAATCTGTCACTGCCTCCATATCGTCCACTTCTATTTCCCAGGAGGTGATGGGACCAGTGGCCATGATCTTAATTTTTTTTTTGATGTTGAGTTTCAGACCATTTTTTGCGCTCTCCTCTTTCACCGTCATTACAAGGTTCTTTAATTCCTCCTCACTTTCTGCCATCAGAGTGGTATCATCTGCATATCGAAGATTGTTGATATTTCTTCTGGTAATTCCGGTTTGGGATTCCTCCAGTCCAGCCTTTCACATGATGTGTTCTGCATTTGAGTTAAATAAGCCG